GACACTGAAATCCTCCAGGACAAGCAAAGACCTGCAGTAAAATATGTAAGTATCAGTTAAACTTACAAAATCTATCAAAGGCAAATAAAACCAGTTTGGCTGTGAAATGTTCCTTTTTTTCTGTTTTACTGTTAAATATTGTGTTTATGGATTAATATTAGTTTAGTTTGTTCTTACAGGGACGAGTTAAAACTAATTGCATCAGACTTAGAAGGTAATTTGCGTCTGTTGTCTCAGGGCAGGTACAGAAAAAAGAAAAAACACGGAGCATAAATATACGACATAAAACAGAAGTCCATTGGTGTGAGATATCAGATAAAATCAGTAAAAACAATAAATAGATAAAAGATCATCGCTGGTGCTGACAACTTTGTTCTCAAACCTTGAAGCTGGTTTAAGCTTCCTGACATTTGTGGGGATGGAATTCCACTTTGTCATGACTTTAACTGAGGATGCAGAAAAACCAGAAGCTGTGGATCAGATCACCTCCAGTAGACGCTCTGGGATGCAGGATTATGAGCAGAATCGTCTGACCATAACATTTTATTTATTAGCATATTGCCATGATGCTGATCTTTTGGCTTTCTATCTGAGACTTTACAGACTTTTGTTTATGGAGTCAGAACCCGGGTCCGAGTGTCGTCCCGTCTGCCTGCGACCAGGTTGTACGACACGAGGACAAAGCAGAGCGTGAACAGAGAGCTTTACAGCTGGTGCAGATGTTTTTTTAATTATTCAAATTAACTTTAACGCTGCTCGTGACCCTGCTGACAGCTTTGTGTCGACTGTAATGTCTAGATATTTAAATCGTGTCACACATTTAAACTGCAGCAGATGTTACTGCTGTAGATGTTCATATTTCAGACATTTTTAGTAAAACCTTATTGAGCCTGGTAATGACTTTTCATCCAAATAAGCTGTAACATGATAATGAATGAGATCTGGACCCATTTGGACCGAGCCGGGCCAGCCGTTTCCATCTTTATCCTCAGCTAACCAGCTTCAGCTTCATGCTTTAACTGAGAGAGATGAGAGCAGTATCAGTCTTCTCATCTGCAAGAAAGCGAATAAATTTACGTCCCGAAATGTCAAACTATTCCTCAGATAATAAGGCCTCTCAGCATCCTGCACAACTCCTTTGTTGCCAAGTTGCCGGCTGACTCATGGAGCCTCCTGCCTTCATGCTTCGCTGTTCTCTGTGAGGCCAGACGGGGTAAAAGAAAAGAAAAAAAAGCTTTAAGTGCATCGACTGAAGTGAGCTGCAGAGAGTCGTAGCGGCCTGTAGCGCCTCGTGATTGTAGAGGGTGAAGAGACGAGGTTGATCTGAGACCACGGCGGCGGCTGCAAGGAGGCCTGAAGCCGGCCGAGGATGACGAGGGGATTGATGCTCAACAGCAACTTTCGTTACAGTAACGAGCCGACGTACCACACGAGATCCACCGGCGAAATAAAAAGTGACACGAATAGGAATTGAAAGTGGGGGCGTTAACTGCTTTCACGGCACCACTTTAGAGTTCATTCACTTATGGGTATCATTTATTCAGACAGATGGAGGCCCTGAGGCGGACTCTGAGGAGGAAGGAAAGTGCTGCTGCTGCTCGGATCGGGTCTCAGGCCGCGGCCGGGTTCATGTGACGGCAGCAGACCGAAGCGCTCGACCGTCTCCCAGCACTTGAATATCATGTAACGGGCAGCAGAGTGTTTTCAGATTCACCTGCCAGACGGCTCCGGAGGTGGTGCTGAGATCTTTTAGAGAAGTCACAGCAGCTCAGCAAACTGTAAATCCTAAAATCTGTGCCCCGTCCTATGAGGTTAACACTAGACTCCAAGTGCTTTTAAACGTTTTTATAATAACCTACCACCTACTGATGTTACCTGGACTCAGAAAGCTCCAAGTTAGTACAAAAATAAAAAACAGCAGAGGTGATATTTACACTTGAATTTGACATTAGCTGACTTCTACGTGGCCTCACACCTGCATCACAAATGATAAAAGCGATTAAAACAGTTGACCTCGGCCTACAGCGAAGGAGGAAAACATTTTGACATATTTCTTTCTGTACCACCTCAAATAAAATAATGTTTTAGCCTCACCAGCCCAAATAAAAACTGGTTCCATCAACAGGCATACGAGCAAGCAAGTATTAAAAAACAAACAAGTTTCCAGCCATGCCAGCAGCTCTGAGAGGTTGTACGAGCTAAATGCTAACATCGTTTGGGAGGAAGCTGGAGAACCCGGAGAGAACCCACGCTGCACGGGGAGAACATGGAGACTCCGTGCAGAAAGATCCCGGGTGTCCTCACCGGGATGCGAACCAGCGACCTTCTTGCTACGAGGCAATGATGCTAACCACCGAGCCACAAACATACAAAGCGTAATTTACATCCACTGTATTAACTTGGTATCACATTCATCAGATGCACATTAATGCTGCAAATCTCCAGTTCTACACACAAACATCTTGAAGCTGCTCTATTGGATCTACAGCTGGTGACTGAGGAGGCCACCAGAGTCCACTCAAGTCTTTGATATGTTCATGACACCAGTTTGTAAGACCTTCTGCCTCGCTGCCACTAAAAACGATGGTAAACTTTGTCCATAAAGGGATGCATGTAGTCGGCAGCGGTACTCAAACAAACTGTTATTTACTGACAGTAAGTGTACCAGTGAAACAGTCTCCACACAACGAGACCAAGACCAGCAGCAGCCCTCTACCGTGGACTCCTCACAGGCCGGGGTCGTGGATTCATGCTGCTAAAGTGCGTCAGCCTCAGCAGAAATTCAAATGTGACATTTTCCAGCTGATTCAAGAATGCTTTTATACATAAATATAAATATATCTTAAGACAAAGGAGAAAATCTTCCACCCATGAAGGAACACAGAGTTTAACTTTAAATTCAAAATCAGCAAAATTGGAGACACACAGTTTGAAAGGATGGAAAACATGCACCGTGAAAAGCAACTAAAGCTGCAAGATGAATATAGTGGAGTATAAATAACTATAGTTGGCCCTGGATTGTAGTACACTGTAAAAAATAACCTGCATAAAGGCTAGAAAACAGTGAACATCTGGCAGCAAGGACGTCAAGAAACAGTGGAGTAATGTAAAGTTCAATAAGAGTGAGATTTAAATACAGTTAAAGAGTGTAATTTTACAGTCACATTGTTAAAGAATGGATTACTAGAATTTTGATAAAGCAGTTTCATGTTTTCTTTTTTTTTACAGTCAACATTAATTGTAAATTAACATTTTTTCTGTTATTTTACTCGTCACCTGTAATGATCAACACGGGGAAAAAATGTACAAATAGCAGCAAATGTGTGTAAAATCATATTTTTGCTGATTTGAATACAGTGAAACACATTGATAAAGAACTAATTACTACTGAAGTGGTGAATATTTGCAGCTTTGGCCTTTTTTTCAGTTGAAATTGTAAAAAAAAAATGACAGTAAAAATGTTC